TACCTGACTATACTTTTCATGAGCACTATACCACTATACCCCTTTCCCTTTACACCCTCGACAGCTCGATAAAGACAGAAGTAGGAGGGGGGTGGGCGGGGTCTAGAACCACTTAAAGGCAGCGTCCGCGATCAACCAAAGTGAAAAAACCCTCCAATGAAAACGAACGCGGAGTACGCAACCACAGCGGATATCCCACTCTTGCGGCTCGAAATCGATTGGTTGACGAGGGCGGAGTCAACAAGGCTGAGCTGACGCCTCCTTCCCTGTTAATCCCGCCCCGACTGGTTAACAGTTATCAGTGCTTGCTGGCATTGATAAACGCTAAGTTTCTGGAGTTCCGAGGCGGCGACGTGTATTGGAGAACTCACCAAAGGTCTGCGAAACTCGTCCACATGCCTTAAATTTCGTAGGGTCTTATTTCACGCTCTTCCACACCTTTTTCCTACTTTTTTTGATTAGTGCTTCATTGGCCACCTGTTCTAACAAATTTGACCCCTGAGACCTGCCAAAGTCCATCGCGGGCGCTGTCTTTAAAGTAGAGTTTCGAATGTGAGTTTCGTTTCTATGCATTTTTTGCACTCTTTGGTTTTCTTGCTGGTGTTGGATGGCATTCACTGCTGGGACCGATGCGAAGAAACCAGGGAATACCCAGACAAGGCAGGTTATTATCGATTTGCTGGCATGATACCAGCGAGTCCGGAAAACTTGCACAATAAGACTGCTCAAGGAGACTCCTTTGCTTTTCTCCATTCTGTAGAGTAAATTAGTGATTTCAAGTTCAGAAGTCGGCGCAGTTTGGCGACAGGGGGTGGGGAGAGGGCATTTTGCACTTTCGCTGCTTCACTAGTTCCGGTTTACAAGTCTCACTCTGGTGAAACCTGTGAACTCTTGTGAAGCTGGAGCAAGCTCGTCAAGCCATCATGGTAAAACCTGTCAACTCAGAAGAGGCTGTCTAGATGGGTCGACACGCTGGTGGAAGCTGCAACAGTGCGAAGCCAACAACGTTGCCCTCAAGGTTGCAGTTGCAGGATGTCGCTAAAAAACTCTGGTTAAGTGCTTATGCAAATACCTTGGTACAGTCGCAGTTGGAAATGGTGAAATTGAAGGCGAATTTGCCATCTACGTTTGTTCCATTCGGACCACTCGAATCTCCGAGCGATTTGGATAATTCCTCAATCTGAAACGAATTTCCAAGAGTCATAAGGCTTAGCTGTTGGAAAACAGCTATTTTGCTGCTGACTTGTGCTTGTGGCTAATAGCCCATGTACCTGGACAGTCGCCGGATTGTAAAGAGCAGCAGTGATTAAGAAAACGATCGCTTTATCGTTTCCTTTCCCAGGATGAGGAGGTTGTGGCACAGGAGAGCAGGCCTTGAAATGAATTTTGGTTAGCTTACTGGAGATTCCGTTCCTTTTTCAGCTTCAAGTATCGGTGAGACTAAGCTCTTATCCAAGTCCTTTCAATAGCATTGTTACTGAAAACCTACCAGGGTGACTCCAATGAGAGTCATAGCAAAAAGAAGACGTTCTATAGCAGGAGCCTGATATTATGGTGCACTGCTTGTCTTCACGACTTTTATATAGCCACAGCACACGTCATCATTATATACTCGTTTATAGCCTCCTGTGACCTTTTCACAAAATTCAAAATTTACGGCCATTTGTATTGGGATTTATCACGTTTAATGGCCCTTGGTTCATGTTGCCTTCCCAGCTACCGCAATCAATTTTTATCTGAAACAAGCACATCGTTCTCGAAACTAAGATAGTTTTCACTAACAGGTTATTTACTCGTGTTGTTGGTATTTTATTTTGGGAAGTCTGGGAAACTTAGCTCTACTTCTCAAAGTTTGTGGCTGCACATATTACCTTGCTGTGCTTTCAGAATGTTGCATCAGGTGATAGGAAGCTACTTGACGCTACTCAGGGTCAGTGTGAGGCAGAAAAAAGTTTCCAGTGCATGGGCGAGCTAACAGTTGGAAGAACTCGTCCAGGCGCCAGCAGGTTCTTGCAATGACGATTGTGTAAGAGGTCTTAATTAAGGCGTTCTTGACGGACTTTTCTACTGCTTTCTTCAAAAGATTGGCATTTCCACTAAAAAGTCGTAGATAAGCGCCATTTGAGCTCGAGAAGGA